AATAAAAAGAGTGAAATGTGTTTGTCCAGCCCAATTATTTGATTTCTAAAGTTTGATCACTTGACTGATTCACACATTCTGATAAAGGCTTCATGTTTGCATGATGAGTATGAATGGAGAAATGCATACATGCACATCTGTTTTAGATGTTTTATGCTTCTCGGTGGGCTCTTATTTCTGAGGATCCTACTGTGCAAGAATGTTTGATGAATTAAAATAAGGACTGGTTCAGAAATACATACTGTATTGCCTCCACTGTCCTTACCTAAAGTAATGGAACAGATTACCTGGTTCCAAGAGGTATTCATAGTCATAACCCAGTTCTTTGGATGAAATGAAGAATTCCCCATTCCTATAGAGAGGAATGAATGGGACCATGTAATATTCCCGGTTGTGTCCAATAGGAGCGTTGGCCTCAGGGTAGACTTCCCGCAGGGGTTTGTGTCTTCGGAGCCACTGTTCATAAATGCTGTGGGAAAAAAGTTCGATATTAATATTTCAACGATGGAAACAACAATGCTTTTAAAATCCAAAGTAGAAAGAAATAAAATTCATGGGGTGGCTGGTTCCTAGACTGATCCAGATGCAGGAGATCAGCTGCAGGCTTCAACATTAGCAGTGAAGAAACCCGCCCGGCCTGTTCACTGGCCCACCAGAAACCTGTTAAAAATTCAGAAAGGCTTGAGCACAGGGATGCATTGCTCCTAAATGGCTGGGATTCTTGTTACTCCATTACAATTTACTAATTCTAAATTGCTGGGATTCTTGTAACAATATTCTTTTTGTCTCAATAAATCTTGCTAAACAGGCTCTGTGAGATTTGTGCCTGGAAAGAATCATTTCCAGTTTTGGGCAGGGCCAAGGAACCTGACAGGTCACCATTAATAATCATGAAACCAAATTAAAACTGAAAACTCCAACAGAAGCCCCACAATTAACAAAGAACAGCAATATTATGATCATTAGTGACTGCACCTTAGGGCTACCATTGAAAAGACCCTGCCCTGTGAAGTGGAGATGTGGAAAGTGTTTCTCTGCAGAAAACCTAAATGGGAGGGTTAAGTCATGCAAGAGAAGGTATACAACTGTAAAACAACTTGCTCAAATTTAGAAGGAATGTAATACCCTGAATTTCAGTGATTCTTGACTTTGTGAAGGGTTTGGTTACTTCTGGAGTTACACACAGATAACACTTTTGAAAATGAAATGATACAGCTTTGACATGGTGCACAGACATTCATGTTTTCTGTCTTGTTTCAGTGTGGTTCAGTCCATCCACATGTTTGATACATGCATGGAAGAATGGTTGATGGCTGGGGAATTGTGGGAGTTGAAGTCCACACATCTTAAAGTTGTTGAGGTTGAGAAACACTGCTCTAGAGCGTTGATGAATTTCTTGCCTCAAAATGAAAGGGAAATGGGAAATGGCCATTGCTTCTATCTAACCCTTATACTCCTCATCCGATAGCAAACTGGCTACCTAGGGTGCACACTTTGGAAATTACTGTACTGCAATTTTAATAATTTGTACATCGAACAGAATATTAATTACTAAAACAATTGCATGATTGTCTTGTGATTTCCAACTTAGTTTGTTTTGCCAGACAGTTTCTCTCTACCTTTCATTTCTACTTTTCCTGCCCAGGCTCCAGGCTGCTGGAGAAGGAACTGCATTCTTCGTGGTGACAATGAAGTCAGTGATGCTACGAATTAAGGGCACATGCTTTTCATTTAAGGTAAAGCAATCCCATTAGCTAATATGAGTTAAGGATGTTTCTTTGCAGGAATGAAATTAATGTGCACAGACAACAAAATAAAATAAATTTTAAATTTCATAAATTATTAGCTTCATAAAGCCTCCCAAAAGCTGCTTTAAAAAAAAAAAACAGATTGGATTCAGTAACTGAAAATGATACTGCAGTTTTAAAAAAATGTAGCCGATCTGTCACTCCTGGCGATGCATCGTTATTCTGAGATGAGGACACGCTTAGTGAAATATGGAACTTTTAATTTCATACATATCTACGTACCCATCATGCTATTCCCATTGGGGATAACAAGCAGAGGAGCAAGAAATAGTAACCCAAAGCAATTAGGGATTAGTTAAGGAAAAGAAAAGGAAATCTGGTTTATGCCAACACCTTTGACTACAATTCTCTATACCTTTCAGTCCTTATAAACCATCCTTGCTTCCAACATGCTCATCCATTGCTTCATCCATTGCCTTTTGTTCTTTAGTGTTTTAATTCAAGAATTAAATTAAATTTTGAAGAAGTCAGAGCTGATTATCAACTTCTTTTCTCATGTTTTATTCATGCTAGGAGAACAGCCACAGAACAGAACTATCCAGTCACCAGGCAAAACCTGTTTCCCTTCTGTATCCTTTCCTAATTTTGATTGGTTTTATTTTGTTTCATCTTTGCCCTGTTCCTTCTCCACTACTTTTCCCAGGTGGTCACCCTGAAGTAGCAATATTTAGGTCGCAGGACAGAAATTCCCTATGGATGGAGTAGGTTATGCTCTGTATGATTTTTTTCCTTCCTTCCTTCCTTCCTTCCTTCCTTCCTTCCTTCCTTCCTTCCTTCCTTCCTTCCTTCCTTCCTTCCTT